CTCTTAGGTTGGAGGCCATCGCTATTAGGTTGGAGGCCATCGCTATTTGGTTGGAGGCCATCGCTTTTAGGTTTGAGGCCATCGCTTTTAGGGGAGGCCATCGCTATGAGGTTGGAGGCCATCGCTCTTAAGTTAAGTTGGAGGCCATCGCTCTTAGGTTGGAGGCCATCGCTCTTAGGTTGGAGCATCGCTATTAGGTTGGAGGCCATCGCTATTAGGTTGGAGGCCATTGCTATTAGGGTGGAGGCCATCGCTCTTAGCCTGAGGCCATCGCTCTTAGGTTGGAGGCCATCGCTCTTAGGTGGAGGCCATCGCTATTAGGTTGGAGGCCATCGCTCTTAGGTTGGAGGCCATCGCTCTTATTAGCTTGTAGGCCATCGCCATCAGGTTGGAGGCCATTGCTATGATTTTGGAGCCATCGCTATTAGGTATTGAGGCCATCGCTATTAGGGTGGAGGCCATCGCTCTTAGGTTGGAGGCCATCGCTCTTAGGTTGGAGGCCATCGCTCTTGGGTTGGAGGCCATCACTCTTAGGTTGGAGGCCATCGCTATCAGGTTGGAGGCCATCGCTACTGGGGAGCTTCTGGTCCTTCATCATTCCCTTTTTTTTGGGCCCTATGGTCAATGTTTTTCTCTTCTTCCGTGTCGGGCACGGGACAAGCGCGCCCAACCCAAATCGGGTTTCACCAGTGCTGGGATCATTTGCTTAGTTTGACTTTCTATTCATGGGGCCCTGACTGATCGTGCTTGAGACATGGTTGAATGTTTGGCTTTAATAAGGATGACATCGACGACGACTTCTGGAAAGAGTTTGACATGTGAGGACTGCTGCTTCCAGGATGCATTGAGGCGTTCTGCGAAGTTTCTACAGATGCTGCAAATTGTACATCGCCAGCCACGTGAAGGACCTGATCACTCAAACTCGCAAGATAAATCAATTCACGTTTGGCATTCAAAACCTCAGTGGCGCCATATAATTCATTGCTGCGAACACACCGGCACCACGTACTTGGTCAACAAATCCATCCTTCACAGGCCAAACATGTGAGACCAGTGGTCAGAAAAGACCGAAGAGCGAAGATCCGCGAAGAGAAAAAGGCGGAGAGAAGTCGTTGGAAGACCCATGAGCCGTCTCAGATGGGGAGTTCCAGTTGTAGGCACAGTGCAAAAGGATGGTTATTTTGTGGGTTCATGCCATTAGCTGATGAATGCCCACTCACTTTTGTCATCTTATTGCATATTGAAATACTATACTATACTTTAATACAATAGTCAAGAGTCAAGACTTTTAGTGTTTTCGGTTCTGCGTTGTGTTGGAATGATTTGGAATGTGTTTGCAGCGCGAAAACTGCTGCCACTTGTTGCTGCAATTGCCGATTAGGCAAAGGCACCCACTTCTGTGCCTCCAAAGAATGAACACATAAAGAATAAACTTCATGATGAGAACAGTATTGAAAGCACCAACCCTTGCGAAAATTCGATTGCTGTGAGTCATTCAGGTTTCATGGAATACCATAAGGGCGATCCATCGCTATTTTCCTGTGTTTGTAATGACGATCGGACACGGACACGTCACAAGCTTGGCTCAGAGCATCGTCATGAGGTCCACGACTCACCACCGAAGACCGGCTGAAAAAACTTTGTCCGAACATCCTGGGTGTTGGTAGCTCGCAGAGTTGGCATGGCTTTAGAGAGGAACAAAAGTGGCATTGACTTAAGTCTGTCGCTGTTGCTGTCACTGGGTGAAGTGGCGCCGGTACCAACACGCCTGAAAGCCGCGGTCGGGAGGCCAAAGCCAGATATGCATAATATAGGCGGGGGAGTCATTTGGTATTTGTCCGACTAAACATCATTCCTGGAAGGAGTTGCTGGTATGTGGTAGGTTGTTTCGCTGAGCATTGGCATGTACAATTTGTCACGTCATGTTTGACACAAGAACTCCACACGTGTCGGAATCGCGAACATTGGCAGCTGCTCACTCGTGTCGGATCGCGCGTCCGAATGGAATTGGGTGCTGCTGAACTCAGGTCTAAATGCTTCCCGAAAAGCAGGCTGGAACACACTGAGAACATAATTATATTATATGTCTTGGCGTCGGAAAGCAAATTGCTTGGGTTGGTAGTGGAGCTTGGAGGCTGTGGTCCTGGTGCAACATAATCATGCGATGACAGACATCTTTGGGGCTGATTGGGAGAAACGGAAATGGCAAAGTGCATGCAGTGCCCATGCATGCAGCATAATTTTGGTCGAACATGGTGATATTGAATGATTCATCCTTTTATGGTGTGCTGACGTGTGCTGGTTGCTAAGAGAGACCCCATTCACTGTTTTGACACTTGACTCACTTGACAAGAAACCGGCGACCGGCAGATGCTTGCAACTGTTCCAAACTGTGGCCATTTCAGACTCAGATTTTCGTGGCCATGGGCAATCAATCCAGCTGCTGTGAGGAGGAGCTTGAAGAAGTGCCCAAAGAGGTGCGGGTCGAACTCACTGCTTTGTCGTTCGGTTTCGGCATCGGCATCACCCATCGGACCTGAAACCACATGGTCACTGGATGTCATGATGTCACTCCCTAGGGCTCCAGATACCTTCTGAGAATGGTGTTTGGGGTGGGTATGGGTGGGTTTAGAGGATCCAAATACCTTTTGAGGAGGCACCTGGAGCCCTAGGGACTGTCTTTCAAAGAATAGAACCTTCGAATTTCGCGTCCGCAGCGACACGTTGCGAACGCGTTGCGACGCCAACGGGCGTGGCCAACAGTCGACGTCTGGCTGGCCAGTTCCGTGCCGAAGGTGCAAAGCCGAAGCATCGAACTCAACATCTGCCAGAAGAGCAGAACAGAAGAACCGTTTGCATCACAAGGTCGGACCTAATTCCAATTCCCAGTCCTTCCCCGACCATCATTCCAACATACTTCCGACCTCGGACTCTCCGGGGGCCCAGTGTCCAAGGACGCTGATCGGGTCTCGCCATGGAGCGAACTTGGACGACTTGGACCCCCCCAAGTTCTTCACGTCACGCGTCATGTGACCAGTGTCAGGGGAAAGAACGTGCGTGGTCGGTCACGACCGCGGAACACCTGTAATACATCCATAATACATTCTCAACCATCACTTGTATAGTGGACGGTCTGTTTTGGAGCCTACTTCAGGAATCTGGAACATGATTGGAACATGGCTGAGCGATGGCAGACTGTACTGAACATGTTTTCAATTGTTTTCATGTCCAAATATGCACGGGGTTGATAGAACCCCCAAGCACGCTCTCACGTTTTTTTCCTTGCGCACACTGTTGGATGCTTTGGATATATAATTTGGGGTTGGTGGGGTGGGAGGTGGCAATCTGCAAACATGCGGCAATGGAATTTCTTGTATAGCTGGAACAAGAACAAGTCCCTTTCACAAGCACCCGCTCTGCTCCAACCATCTCCAATCTATTCAACGTCTATACTGCACCACAACGTCCTGCCCGCAACGACTTAGAAACGGTATTGGTCCACGCTGAAGGGGTTCCCAACGAACAGGGTCGTCAACTCCGTCAGAAGGACGCCCCAGCACCCTCAACAGCAACGTTCTGAAACCACATCGACGCAGCAAAAGACACCGATCGGGTCTATGGCCGATCAACCGAAGTCAGGACGACAGGACGTCAGTCATGGTTCCCTGCACACGTTCTGGTCGAAACCCGGAGTAACATGAAATTTCCAAACTATATTATATAATGTTCTTAGAGTCACATGTCGGGGTGGTGTGGCTCGTCCCATCCAGTGAGCGGATGTGACAGGGGCACCCCGACAAAAACACCCCTATCCTCCACTGGGCGCCCCGTCTTGTGACTCCTGGTTTATAGTTCTTCCTCAAAGAGCAAACATCAAAACGTGCGCGAATTTCTATCGACACGGCACATTAGGCTAGGCTAGAAAGGGCTCTACCACGCGGTCGGAGTGTTCTTTTTCTGACCAGTTTTGAATTTGGCTGACTTGACATGGCACCAGACTTGTTGGTAGCCCAGGCTCGTTAGACATGCTTCCCCTTGTTTCAATCATCGCTCCCTCCCTCCCAGGTGATCCATCACCGCCATGACTTTGCAGAAGGCAACAGCTTCAAAACATGCCTTCCCGGTGACGCAGCCCATGAATCGGAGGAGACGGATGAATCGGCCTCCGCCAGCGCTGGCAGTCCGCGTGCGGTGGACATCAGCTTGGCTCAGTGTCGGCTGCAGCGCATGGACCATTTAGTGGTGGATCAAGAAATTCTACGAGGGATCACATTGCGAGAGTCCCCCGGCTTTTGTTGTTGATTGGATTCCACTGCGGTTCTTTGTTCAGGTGAGATAGTGTTGGTGGAGTTGTTGGTGGAATGTCTTAATTGCTATAAAGGTAGCCAAAGCATTAAGAGAACAACAACTGCTTTGCGTAGACCAAACAACAACCTGGAGTCTCATACTAGCTCACACTCAGAGTGAGTACATCTGCTATGTTCAAGGGCCCCGGTCGGGTTTGACAGCACCTTGTTTGACGAGGAAGTTCCTGACTTTGGGGCAGACACTGCGAAGTGTTGAAGGTAGGTGGTTCGCTGCATGACAAACAAGAATGCGGTTGAAGCCGTGTAGGGATACCAATTCGTATAGGCTAATGTCAAAGGCTATACTGATTGATCCCTTAGAGTGGCTAATGTCACAGTGCTCCTGTCTTCGAAGACGAGCTGGTCCTAGAAGACACAGCACACGGCCGTAGAAGACACACGCAGCAAAACACCAAGCCGTCAGGTCCCTCCAGGACGGTGGACGTCTTTGGAGGCGTTCGCCCTTGGATCTCAAAGAGCCCGAGCGGAAAGGCTTGTGGAGCAGGTGTCGTGCACGTACAGACGCGCAGAGCGTCGTCCGCGCAGACGGACGTGGCGTAGACTTTGGGACACGTGTTCCTTTTTTTGGTGTTTGTGTGTTTGGTGTTTTTTGCTTCAGTTGCGTGTATTTGTTTAGTTTCAGTTTTTTTGTTTGTGTTGTTTTGTTTGGGACACGTATCTGCTGTGTGTGTTTTTTTTTTAAGCAAACTGGAGTGGTAGGTGGTTTAGAAGACCCATTGTTTTCCCTGTGAGGGGGGTGTGATGTTCCAGGCACGCCGACTTCCTCCAACCTAAGCACCCTGGCCCCAAACCCCTGGAAAAAAAATAGGCCAGAATCTAGGAGCTAGTGGTTGGGGATCACCCAAATAACCCCCCCATGGAACTGCAAACTAGAGACTTTGGCATCATGACCCGAAACATGTTGATCGCTGAACATATTGCGAATGGTGCGTAGTTTTCGTGAGTGTTGGGGTGCTCGGTGTGGCGTCAACAAGGAAACACTAATATAGTAATATATAGCGATGGCCCCCCAACCTAATAGCAATGGCTTCCAACCTAAGAGCCATCAAAATCCATCAAATTACATGTTCCTCCTTTACCTCGGGAAGCAACTGTTTCACTTTTGAAACCGCGATGGCCGGAAGAAACTCCGTTCTTCGACGCGTACGCCGCTCTGCTCGTCGGTGTGTTTTCGTTTGAGCCGGTCTGACCGGTTTGGCTCCGCACGAGGTCTCGAAATGTCGAAGGCTTTGACATTTTCCTCTCGCACACGTGGCAGACGTCAGGAATTTGGAAGGTCTTGTCTTTGACCCTTCAGTCTTCCTGGAAAGCTTGGATAGCAACATGGTTGCTTCTGGTGTGTTTGGCCATTGTCCTTTTTTTATTTGATTTCTTGCCAATGACTGAGACATGGACTCCCAACATCTTGGGCTTTAGTAGACCCTGCCCCTTGGGCGGCTGGGTCATGGTGGCCAGCTTCTTGACTCCTTTCTTGGCCATCCTCATCTCCTTGAACCTTCCGGAGTCCTTCGTGAAGTCACCGATTTGCTTTCTGGACGTGGTCAGCATTCATCAGACCGATAAGGATCTCATGGAGCGTGGCATTTACGGCTTGGGTGGATTTTTGCAAGTCTCAAAGGAGCTAAGAGCCTTGGAACATGACAACCCATTGAGACTCCAAAGAAGGTCTTCAGCGTATTGTTTTATTGAGTGAACAATTTGTTCTTGCTTTTGATCTAAGTTGTTGTGGCAGTTGCGCGGTGGTTGTTGCTGCTGCTCCCGCTTCTTTGTTTGTTTGGACGTCTGGAATTGGGGTCACTCTGGTGTGGCAGAGGCTATATGGACGCATGTGGAGGTTTTTCAAGTGTAGTACCAGTTACTTTGAAAAGGTAGCAGAGAGTGCATAGTATTTTAGTGGTTTTGATATGTATAAATCGCTGCATGCCCTCTACTGTAGGCTGTGCCTCAGGCTGCCTCCTAACTCTGGTGTGGTAGGGAGTGAATGCTCCGCAGGTAGGGAGGCGGAGGGCGGTGGCCTTCGTGATGTCTAGGAATGCTGGCTGGATCCGCTCCCGCTTCGGTGAGATGCACCTGTCGAATCGCACAGGTCGCTGACTCTTGAGGATCTGCATGTTTTTAAACAACAAGCCACATAGGTGTTTGCCCAGAGGTCGCTTCTTGCGTTCCGTTCGTAGAAATGCACTTGTTCCGTTCGTAGCGATGCACTTGTTCCGTTAACGTAGCGATGCACTTAGCAGCCCTAGCATCTGAGAGTCTGAGACCATACCTGTACGCCTTGGTTTGGCCTGTACGCCGTGGTTGCAATGCCCGCTGCCCTGTTCGGCAAAGATGTGTGCTGCTCATTTGGAGTCTTTTCCGTTCGTACGTGGGAACAAGGGTACAAGATGGTACAAGTATCCTGTTGTTTTCGGGTCATGTTCCATTTTCCAAGGTACTTGGAGGGTCCAGGTACTTCCAAGATCTTCCAAGTTTCTTGTCCTGGTCGTTTGGCGTCCTTGCGCCTCCTATGCCTTTATACCGGGCCTGGCAGCGATGCCTCCGCCAGTCTTGTTGACAGCGATCTTCACCCTGGGGCGGCCGGTCATTTGCAGACTTTTATCATGCCCTTATGAGATATTGAGGGGATGGATATACTATATGTGAACTGAGGAACTGCTGCACAGCATACAAGAGCTCTAAAGGGG